TTTATATGTAGATGTATTATAAGACATTAGTTAAAGTTAAAATTACAACCTACTTACGTCCCACAGCTGAGCACAGGTTCAACTACTCTCACTTCTGGAGGGTTTTAGGGCAAGGATTATGTAATTCAGATTTATCAGGCGAAGCCAGCAGGGTCTTTAGTAATGAAATTTTAAGGATTAGATCGCGTTTGCTTTAGGTACCTATATTTCAAATTTCTGTACTGTACTGTATTTAAGAATAATACGAGTAGAAACCATAACACAGTCACTAGTAGTACGATTCAAACCTTGTTATTTTAAATTTTAGATGTGTAATAATTTTATTAAAGAACATTTTTTTTATTTAGGCCCCGTATTGTGCACCCTTTCTAGAGACCCAAGTCACATAAACACATTTATATAATAATTACTGAATTTTAAGTTAGTGTCGTCTGGAAAGGATGCGCAATGCCAGCAATAGATGTCCGCGGAAGACCAACGTCTTGACATGCTCCTTGCGAGCATGTCATGACAAATGCTGAGCGGAGGCCTGTTTTGGCACAGTATTAATGTATATATATAATTTACTGTTAACCATTTATAAATGGGCATGCACTGCTGTGTCAATAAAGTTTATTTTCTTTCTTTCTTTCTTCTTTCTTTCTTATTTCTTACGACGAAAAATAAAGAGTTTTCCTTTCATTTCATTTAATAATCGTACGTACACCGTTTCCATTACAATATTATGTCAGTAATATACAATATTCTATTGTTTCTAACGTTAAAGTATACTCGTATTTTAACGTTAAGATGTATTTGATATTAAATAACACAACATAAACTAATACAAGGATATTGTACAACAATGCGCATAAAAGTATGCTTTTTACTGCCTTCCTAATGTTCTATGTCTTGTTGGAAATTTTTATTGATATAATTTATTATTTATTACTTTATTCCATGTGTTTGTACATTATTAAACTTCATTTATATTCTGAGAATAATCCTTATTCAGGATATTATATACGATCTATACAAAGTTAATGCTATGACTGTTTTTAAATATTGGACAAACGGGCATAAAAAACGTTTATGGTATTCAATAATTTAGAAGGGAAAAATTTAGTGGGAAGTTGATAATGTTCTTGTTACGAGAGTTTACTTAGCTTGTTTATGAACTGTACGGAGTAGACGGATACTAAATCAAGGATACTATGCTCTAGGTTTGATTTCCAGCTATCTCCTTGCATTGCTTGCTCGGAGGAACCGCTCGCCGTAAACTTCACAGTACCCAGCAACCCGGGTTTGATTTTTGCCAGTATTAATCAAATTGTTAATTACCATCGTGTTGGAAATTCATAACATTTATTTCTGAGAAATAAAATTCTTGAAGCATATATTTACGTCCCACCGGTAGGCACAGGACATGTCCAAAGGGGTTATGTAGCCATTACAACGCCGCGCCACTCCAGTGTGTATTGGAGAACTTCACACGACGTTTATTCTTCAGAAAGACAGGTTTCCTCACGATATTTTCTTCACCGTCGAGCACGCGGTGCTAATTCAACACTTAAAATGCAATTAACAATTTCATTGGTGCCGGCGGGTATTAAAGACAAACTTCAAGTTCTCACGTTACTATGAAAAGTAACAAAAGCAATATAGAATTTATAGCATTTGATGTCCATCCACATGCACATTTTGCGGCATATCAGTAAAATCAAAAACCTAGAAAATTGTAGTAAACCTACGAATTTTCTAATCAGCGGAATAACGCAAGGGTCATTACAGAACTGAAGGATTTTGGCTTTGATTACATAATTTAGTCGCTTTCATAGAATTGTCATAACAATCATGATAATCTGGTAGAGAATACCACATAGCATTAAGCTCACTTATTGTACAAAATATTTGGTGCAATACAGAATAAAATAAATAAAAATCAGAAGTCAACAACGCAATGGATGAAATACGAGCACAACTGCACTCATATATCCCTGTCTGATCTGATTACAACATGCGATGCTTTTCATCTTAGTCCTCGGAGGTGACAACGCAGGAGTACGGACTGCAGTAACGACTTAGGTATCACCAGGTGGACTGTAAGTTCATTGGTACCTTCAGTTTTATAAAAAGATTAGCTGTTCCCCGCGACTTCGCCCGCGCGTAATTTATTACGATTGGATTTCATGGGTTTTAATTTTTTGCGCGGAACCCTTAATTCTTTTTCTAAAATAAAGGTATGTTCCATATTCAGGGGTGCTGATTTTCATGGAAGAAAGTAAGAAACTCAGTAGTTGATCTTTTCAAAATATTTTTACGATAGTACTATAATTATGTAAAGCGATATGTCAAACATAAAATATCAAATGTATATGTGGATACCAAATCGGTATAAAATTTCTAGTTAGTCCTATGTAGTACGAGAGGTCAGTTCCAAGCATTTTTATCATTAAGATAATCATGGACAGAATAATATGCTTTTTTGGCTAAACAAGTTTTAATGCGCGACTTACATTGAAAAGTGAAAGATCTAACATTTCTTTTGGAATCTTGTTATAAAAAGCGTATACCGCTACCCAAGAATGAATTTGTGTAACCGAAAAGTAGGTAATGTGATTTTGATTGTATATCTAATATTAAAATTGTGCAAATCACTATTCTCCCAGAAACGACACTCAGTCCTAACTGCAAGACGCAAGAGTCTCGCAGGCTTAGTCTTGTTCTTGTTCAAATCTTGCAGGGTCAGTCTTGATCTTGGTCTTGTAAAAATGCAAGAGCAAGTCCAAGACTGCAAGACAAGAACCCATTTTGGGGAACACTAGATCAGGCGCAGGACCAAAGGCATTACGTGCTTTCCGAGACACTGGGGTGAAACACCGCCAACTTCCTGACTCCAGGCTGCTACTGGGAATTTCAAGAGGGTAAAACCCAATAACTGGTTTTGACCCGACCCGGGATTTGAACCTCATGATCAACAACCGCGTTTACAACCACTAGAACTAGGCAGTTCTAGAACTATGCCGAACTACCAACTTTGTAAAGTAGTTATTGAAAATAAAGTTAACATGTCCATTGATCTTGTCAATTATCATAGTCGGGTATTTTCGCCTTTGGGTATCGTCGTTACATTCATTAAGCATTATAAAAAACTCAACTACGTAATGGCTATATATGAAAAATTAAAAAACGAGTTTTTCAGCAATAGTAGGCAGTCCAATGTTTGAGCTTATAGATATAACACCCACTTCTCAAAAATTAAAGTAACAACTTATATAGTACCAACTATTCATCTCTAATTTCTGAGAGGGTTATAGAGATTCATATTAGTCCATGGCGTTACTTTAGTGTATTGACTTCACACAATATATTCAACGCCGCTAGCGCTCTGGTTTCATGAAGCATGAAACTTATATATGTAATATGCTGAGTAGTTAGGAAACTTCAATAGCGTGATTTAAGCTTAGGTTGAGTTTTGATGTGTTTACGTTTTACGCCATTGCAGCGCGATGACAGTACCGCCATGGAAGAGAACAATTTACAAGCACAAAAAAATGCTGCGGACTGTCCGCAATTAGCGCTGAATCGCTAGTTGTTATTAACTTCAACTAGTATTACGTATTAACTGCCATTATTAACCCATTATTAACTTCCAGCTCATGCGGTACTATGAGGAGCACCAACAGATTAGTGACTCTGCCAGTACGGTTTCCATTGGGGTCGCTCAGCTGGTGATCTTCTTGTTTACCTAACACATACATGAACGCAGGCGTTAGGCATTGGCCGTTAGTTTGGACATAGCGAAGGCCTTCGATCGGATCTGGCACAAAGCACTTCTTTCGAAGCTTCCTTCCTATGGGCTTCTCGAGAAATTGTGCAATTGGATCACCAGTTGTCTGGCTGATCGGAGCATCAAGGTCGTGGTAGACGGTGCGTGCTCCGATTACAAGCCTATTAACGCTGGTGTTCCACAAGGCTGCGTACTATCACCAACGCTGTTTCTTCTGATATCAATGATATGTTGCAAACCGGTAACATATATTGATATGCAGATGACAGCACTGGTGATGCTCTATACACCGGCCGTGCCAGTATTTCTCGGGAAAACGTCAAGTCGAGAGTTGAGACTTTGTTGAACAAAGTCTCGGATTGGGTGCGACTAAATCTAGTCCAGTTCAATCCCCAGAAGACACAAGTTTGCGCGTTTACCGTTTACAACTCCTTTGTCGTATCTCCTCAGTTTCAAGGCACTCCCCTTGTTGCCTAAGCCAGTATCGGCATCCTCGGCGTCGACATATCGAGTGATTTGCAGTTTCGTGGTCACCTGGAAGAGAAAGCCAAATTGGCCTCTAAAAAGCTTGGCGTGCTCAGCAGAGCGGGACAGTATTTCAGGTTCGGCCTCACATGGAATACAGTCCCCATCTTTGGGCAGTGACTCCCCAGTGCCAGCTCTTTCCACTTGACCGCATCTAGCGCAGAGCAATTCGGATCGTCGACGATCTAGTTCTTTCCGATCGGCTTGACTCACTGGCACTGCATAGAGATGTTGCATCTCTGTGCGTATTTTATCGCATGTACTACAGGAAGTGCTCTGAGGAATTGTTCGGGACTAATTCCAGCCGCTTAATTTCACCATCGCACATCGCTACAAAACTCGCGATAACATCCATACCATCTGGAAGATTAGCGGTCCACCACTGTGCGATTTAAAAGATGTTTTCTTCTTCGCATAACTTCCTTGTGGAATCGATTACCACCAGCGATTTTTCCGGACAGATACTACTTAGGGACCTTCAAGAAAAGAGCCTACTCCTTTTTAAAAGGCCGACAACGCATCTGCAATTCCCCTGGTGTTGCAACTGTTCATGGGCGACGGGAGTCACTTACCATCAGGTAAGCCGCATGCTCATTTGCCCCCTCTCCTATAAAAAAAAATATCTTATTTCCTTTTTCCTTACTCGACTGTCTCACTCACGTAGTATATATAGTATAAGATAATCGCAAATTAAAATATTCAAATATAATTCTTACAAAATTTATTTCGAAATAAAAATAACATCAAGCTTTTAAAATTGACATTTTATGGAAATTATATAATAAGTTACGAGCATAATTTCATTAAGGTAGAGTAATTTCATGCCATCATTAATTCACATACAATTTTAACATCACTAACTCATTCGCTTTTTTTCTGTTTCAAATTAACGAAAATGTTACGCTAGGTATGAAATCATTCCTATTAAAAATCAGTCAGAGAAAGTGTCCAAAATAATTTTAACAACAATATCAATTTGCATAAGAGATAATAAAAGCACCAAAACAAGTAACAACTTAAATTGTCGTCGTAGTTACTAGATATAAAATGAATGGCTTAAGAGTAAAAACAATGTACATATAAATAATTTAAATTTGGAATTCACAATAAACAATGAAATAAATGTTCTTTATATTAAAAATGCAAAATAATTAAATGGAATTTTTATGTGTGTATGTACACAGCACAGTATAATTCTTACAATATTATATTAATATAAACAACATTTTAACCTAGACATTTAGTTTTTACACTTTAGAGATATTTTTACAACCCTGTCCATCCACTATACTTTATGACAATATTGTGTTTCGCTACCTAGACAATGCAGGTTTAATAAAATAGTTTGACGTCACAATCACATATACATATAAGTGTTAATAATAAATAACATTAAAACAATATGTCATGAAATGCACCTTTTCTTTATTATATTTCTAATTACTGTAAAAATAATAAAAAATATAGATGGAATTTTACTTGTAAAAGGTGTGACAATATATAACTTAAATTATATGGAAGTACTTTAATAACTTGCAATTTTGTGCTTTAGTTTTTAAAAATATTAGAAATAAAACAAGACATGTGTAAAACCCTACAATCAGGGACAACCTAATGATTTTCTTATAGTGAGAAAGAGGTTGTGCGTCTTCACTTTGCCTTTACTGCTGCTTGTCGCTGTCGTAAAGTCTTGTTCGTGTTCTGATCCACTTCCGGTAAGTCGGAATCATCATTTGGTGCCTTTTTAACTGTAAATAATGTAAATGTGTGAAAAAATTAAATTCCTTTTATTTATAATATGAAATGACTTTTTTGATTTATTTAGTTCATGTTGACTTTCCAAAAAAAAATATATATATATTTTTAACATAATGTATACAGAACTTGTAGCTACTATACTCATTAATGAGTTATTATCTCTTTTAATCTCTACATAAAACATAGACTATTTAAATAAAATTACCCTTTTCTTTCTTAGGTTTCTCTTTTTTTTCTTTCTTCGGCTTTGCTAAAGCTAGCTGACGAGCTTCTTGCCTTTGTTTGATTGCCTCAGTTATGAAATTGAACATCAAGAAGACCTGTAAAGATAATATAAACATTTGAAATATCTCGTTTGACGTAGTTTTTTAATTTTAATTAAAAGTTTTTGTACTTATCATTAAAAATGTATAAATATATAAACTATACTGGTATGTCCTTACTTGGAATGAGACCAATACTGAGAGGGCGCCAACACGCAGCAACAATGGAGCTGCCCCGGCTAGTCCATAGTAGAAAGTGAGTACACCAAGCACCAACGAGCATAGCCGTACAATGACAAACACTGTGCCATTGACAAGACTTAAAACTGCAAAAGAAATACATACATAATTAAGAGCAGATATAAACGAAACTAACTTTAAATAAATAAAATATTATAACTGTACCAAATATGCATGTACACTTTGTTATACAATGCAAAGCTTTTACAATAGATGTATATGGCCCACAGCATGCACTTACCATCAGGTGGTCTGTGTGCTAGTTCGTCTCCTTTTTCTATAAAAAAAATATATGACAAACAAATGGACAGAAATCAAAGTGATATAGAACCAACTTGTTACTTTTTTAAACTACTAATTTTGATATTTTTTGTCAAAAGTCTATCAAAATGTTTTCAATTTTTACTAAGCAAAGCAACAACATTTTAGAATCATTGTCATCAACAACAGTTTCAACCCTTTATGGGTTGTTGTTGTAAATGTAATCCAATGTACATAGGTCTGTTACAAGTGTACGAGTAGGAAGGATTTTCCTAATCTTCAAGCTTGGCAGACAGATTGTCGATTGCACTACTATATGTCGCGTAATATGGACACTGGTGTCCATCGCCGTTCTGGGTATTTACTTTTGATGGAAACAAGATTGTTAAATCCATCAAATGCCATAAGATTTTTCTGCATTGTCTGTAATCGTTTCTTACGACACCCACGACATGAATGATTTTTTAATGATCATGTAATGTCAGATCGTTGCGTCACGATACGTTTTATTGCTGTAGAAACAATGATTTAGAAACATCAAACAGTGTTAAACCGGAGTACCTTCTGCTTTTTTAATTAATAATTTTGGTCCGATCTTTTACCATCAGACAAAGTAACTGCATTTTTAGAACATCTTCAATTCAACTCTAAAATTCAATTTACTATGGAGTTAGAGGCAAATAATTCTTTAGCTTTCCTAGATGTGTTAGTCATTAGAAATCCTGATAATACCATAGGTCACACTGTGTATAGAAAAAAGACCCATACAAACCGATATTTAAACAGTGAATCCCACCATCACCCTTCACAGTTAGCTACCGTGGGCAAATCTTTGTTACAGAGAGCACGAGGGATCTGTGACAGCAAACACCTGGCCGCCGGAGCTTCAGCACGTCAAGCAGGTTCTGCACGACAACAAGCTTCGGGTTCCACGCCTACGTCACAGTGACCGAGTGTAGCCGGCCACAGTCGAGCGTGTGCCTGCTGTACTATCGTATGTCAGAGGTGTCACAGACAAGATTGGCTACATCTTGAAGCGAGCTTCTATTAGAACATTTTTCAAGCCGCCGAAGAAGATTAGTCAGTTCTTACCATCCGTCAAGTGCAATATTCCTCTACAAGATGCAGGAGTGTACAAGCTTGATTGTGAGTATGGTCCTCTCATATATAGGGCAAACAAAACGATCTATAAAAACCCGCGTAAAAGAACACATAGCTGACGTGAAGCACCAACGTTCCGGGAAGTCTGCAATTTGTGATCATATCCTAGACGGCCCCCGCCATTACATTAGATTTGATAAACCACACATTCTCGCGAAAGAACATCGATTCCTGCCAAGGATGATACGTGAGGCTATTGAAATTAAAAAACATCCTAATTTCAATAGAGAGAGAGGCTGGGCACTACCACCTGCTTGGGATCCTGTAATTCATAAAATTATAACTAAACCCAAGCATACCACTGCAAGACTTCAAGACACAGTTAGTTCATTCTGCGTAGATCGGACCAAAATTATTAATTAAAAAAGCTGAAGGTACTCCGGTTTAACACTGACATCGGGACGTCAACCACCTCAGTCCCCCGTGACCACGGTTGTAAAAATAGTAGTAGGTAAAAATAGTTTTATTCAATAGTATGCCTTGTAAACTCTTGGAGATAAAATGACTTTCGCGTTGAGTACCCAAATGCTTACGATGCGCAGAAGCAAAATTGAATATTTCACGAAACTTTTTGGGACTGTTGCAACATATTCGCAACAAGATGAAACGTGGCTTCATACTTACGATCTCGAAACAAAATTACAGTCTATGACTTGGAAGATACCAAAATATCAAATATCTAAGATATTCAAGATGAGTCCTTCCGCCAGTAAGATTGTGAGTTCTCTTTTATGGGATAGTAAAATGGTACTAATGTTTGAATATTTGATCATGGAGCTACCGTTATGGGCACTTTATATGCAGTACAAATATATACATTGCGCAACAAAATCCGTGAGAATTGGCGAGGCTTACTCGCAGATTGTTATGTTTCTCAAAGACTAAAGGCTGCAATTCGATATGATGACTTTGGAATACGATTTATGCAATAAAATAGTGATAACTTTTCATTTCAGAGATTAAGAGAATGAGAGGACAGAAATTTGAATATGTTGATTGAAGATCTTTAAGATTTTATTATTAAGATTTATTCGGAAAGGAAATCTTAAGCTCAGAAAAAGACAGTTCCATTACACTATAAAGGTGACAGTGTCGAAAATAACATAATATAATAAAAGTTCCAGTAACCTACTCATTCTCACTTTTACTAAATAGTAGTATATACCAAAACCTTTTCCGCTTTTCATTTAAAAACACCTGCTTTAAATTTGAAAAATATATTCAATGTGCCGAAATTACCTAATAGGTAATATTTATGATCCATCATTTTTATAAGCCTGGAATTATTGACTGACTTATAACATATTTTGTATGACTGATTTTCTAAGTATTATATAAAACCTTTATAATATTATATGTTAACTTACATTTGTTTAAGTAATCTTCACGCTCCCCTCTCAAGATTGTGTTGAGACGGTTACAGTGGGCAACAAATTCTGCCAGGGAATGAAGAACAACAAGACAGACACCTACACGCTGGAACCTAAAACATGAGTAAATTAATTAAATGCACTTAACAAAGCTAACTTTGCTATGTTTAACAAACCGATACATATTATGTATAATATAATTGCACTACACATCATCATCATCATCATTACAGCCCTTCTTCACAAGTCCACTGCTGAACATAGGCCTCCCCCAAGGAATGCCACAAAGCACGGTCCTGAGCCACCTGCATCCATCAACTTCCTGCATGTCTTACCAGGTCACACGTCACTCCATCTAATTGGGGGGGGGGGGGGGGGGGGGGGGGTCGCCCTACACTTCGCCTACCTGTACGTATTGCCACTCGAGTACCTTTTTTTCCCATCGGTTGTAGGTTCTTCAAGCTATATGGCCGGCCCATTGCCACTTCAGCTTACTAATCCGCTGGGCTATGTCGGTCACTCTGGTTCTAGCTCGGTGAGTGACCTTGAGCGTCTTCATACGGCCAGCAGTGAAGGACCATGTCTCTGTTCCATAAATCATCACTGGCAATACGCACTGGTTGTAGTCTCGTTTACAAGTTTTGAGGTATACCTGACGAGAAGATGTGCCGTAATTTCCCGAACGCTGCCCAGCCGAGTTGAACCCGTCTATTGACCTCTCGGTCGAAGTTGGACTTACCTAGCTGGACTATTTGTCTCAGGTAAACATACTCGTCGACAACTTCGAGCTTAGTGCTCCCAAGAACTACCGGCATGGACGTTATACATGATCTTTGTTTTGTCCATGTTCATCTTAAAACCTATCCGTTGGGAGGCACTATCGAGGTCATTGAGCGTACTGCTTAAATTTTCCAGCGATTCTGCCACAAGGACTATATCGTCGGCAAATCAAAGGTGAGTGATGTACTCGCCATTGATGTTAATACCGTATCCTTTCCAGTCCAGTAGCGTAAAAACGTCTTCCAATGCAGTGGTGAAGAGTTTCGAGGATACAACGTCATCCTGTCTTACACCTCTCCGCAGATGGATTTGTTTTACACTCTGGTTCTGTACTCGGATAGCCATCGGAGAGCCTACTGTAGAAACACTTCAGCACTTCGATATACTGAGTCAACTTGGCACCGCTGAAGGGACTGCAGCACCGCCCAAATTTAGACGGAATCAAAGGCTTTCTCATAGTCCACGCCAGACATAGTGGCAAATTGTACTCTTCGGTCTTCTGTACAATTTGCCGAAGGGTATGTATGTGGTCTATGGTGCTAAAGCCTTTTCGGAAACCGGCTTGTTCGGGAGGCTGGATGTCATCGAGTCTGCGTGCGAGACGATTCGTAATGACTCTGGAAAACAGCACGTAGATGCGGCTCTGAAGGGAAATCTTTCTGTAGTTCTTCAAGAGAGCATTGTCGCCTTTCTTGAAGAACAAGACCACCGCACTTTTGCTCCACGCCTCCGGAGTAGTGCCACAATGAAGGACGGAATTAAAGAGCTTCTGAAGGACTTCAAGTACCGGTTTTCCACTCGCTTTCAAAAGCTCCCCTGTAATTCCATACTCGCCTGGGGCCATGCTGTTTTTAAGGTGCTGGAGAGCCATTGTAATCTCGTCCAGACTGACGTCCGGGATATCATCGGAATAGAGTCGGATAAGATTTGCTCTTGGATCGTTACTAACACTTGCGTGTGGCTCCAACGATGACTTGTACAGCTGCCCATAAAACCTTTCAATCTCACTCAAAATCTCAGGTGTCTCGGAAACGATGCTGCCACATTCGGTCTTCAGCTTCGACAGTTGGCACTTTCTGGCAGACAGATCTCTGGCAAAGACTTTGGAGCCCTGGTTCCGCTCGATCGCTTCTTCAATACGAGCAGTATTAAAGTTGCATAAGTCCCGCCGCATGCATTTGAAGATCTGTTTGTTCAGTTACCTATAAGCTGTCAAACCTACTGAAGACTGCAGATTCACTTCATTTACTTCACGAGATTAAGAGTGTGATCGGAGAGTTTTTGGTTCTTCTGCGGCGGGTCCTGCAAAACTTAGCTCCAACCGCATGGACAGTTTCCACGAGGTTGTCATTCATATGCATTGCAATCTTCTAGGTACTGAAAACGGTTTTGTAGCTTGAGCTGAAAGGTTTTGGGACTTTGGATTAGAGCACGAAGGGGACGGAGCGTTGACTTAATTCGATGACACCTCTTCAACTTAACGTTTACGTTCAATGTGCCTCTAACCATTCGGTGATCGCTACCAGTTTTCACCCTCGCGATCACTGAGACGTCACTGAACAGTTGCAGCCTAGTCGTCATAATGAAGTCAATCTCATTTTTTGTCGAATCGTTGGGGCTCGACCAGGTCTACTTCCTGTTTGGCCTCTTCTGGAAGAAAGAGTTCATCATAAAGAGTCCCTCTTTCTCCATGAAGTCGGACAGTTACTCGCCCCTTGGGTTCCGTTGCCCTATTCCAAATTTCCCTACCCTGAGCTCACTGTTCTCTCTTGTGCCTAGTTTTGCATTGAAGTTTAAAGGAATGCATGGCTTTATAGATATCCTCATACATTTTATCCACCTCCTCATCGGGATGCGCCGAGGTTGGTGCGTAAACCTGTATGACCTTCAGTGAATACCATTTGGTGATTCTGAGTATAAACCGAACCTCCACCGAAGATTCTTAACACCCCCTGCCCCGCCGTTACAATGGTCACCACCGTGGCCAGGAATAGCAGGGCCGCCGGGGACTGGGGGCTGTCTTTTTGTAACTTTTGTCATGGGGGTTATATTGCCATAGTTGTCACACTTGTTGAGGTTGGCAACTGCAGTTTTTTTTATTGTAATTTGCTGTTATCAGAAAGATGCTGCTGCCATCTTCTGCCTCAGTTTCCCTCTGTTGTTACTTACGACACCTACGTAATTACACTACACATACGTAGGCGGTCCCATAATGAATTGGCCTAACTATGAACCAATGAAGGAAATGAAACGAAACCAATTTTATTTTTCAATATAATCACCATGAATACTAACACACTTCTGACATCTGTGAATCAACATCTCTAAACCTTTATAAAAATAATCACATTTTTTATCCTCAAAATGACTGAAGACGGCCGCCTGCAACTCTTCATCGCTTGAAAATTTTCTTCCTCTTAAGTCCCGCTTTAAATTTGGAAATAAATAATACTCGGACGGGGCCATGTCTGGACTGTAAGGTGGATGTTGAACTTCTGTGAACCCGCATTGACGAACTACATCCTTCGAAACACCAGCGGTATGAACAGGGGCGTTGTCATGGAGCAACAGGACACCTTTAGACAGCTTACCTCTTCGTTTTTCCTTTATCTTGTCTCGTAATTTATATATTAAAGAAGCATAATATTCGCCGTTCACGACTGTATTACGTTCTTTAAAATCCACCATCAAAATGCCTTGAAAATCCCAAAATATTGTGCACATCAGTTTTTTAGTCGATTGTTGCACCTTTGCCTTTCTAGGGGGCTTTTCACCCTTATAACGCCATTCCATTGACTCGCGCTTGCTTTGTGGATCATAATACAAGATCATAGTTTCATCACCAGTCACTAGCCGCTCGATCACAGTCTTTGGATTTTCGCCAGAAAGATCCAGAAACTCCGAAGCGCAGCGCACTCTTTCCTGTCTCTGTACCGCTGAAAGAAGTTTCGGTACCCATCTTGCACTCACTTTTTTCATGTGAAGATGTTCATGGATCGCACGATGAACGGTACTCTTAGAGAGCCCAAGCCTTGCTGCAATTTCTCTAATCTTCAAACGGCGGTCACTCAGAACCTCCTCTTCGATAAGAGCAATCGTTTCAGGAGTGAGCACTTCCACAGGTCGACCGTTGTGGCCAAAGTCTTCGACGGTTTCTCTCCCGAGGCGAAACTCTTTCACCCAATTTTTCACTGTGCTATAGGAGGGGGCAGACTCCTTATACACGCCATCCAATCGTTCTTTTATTTGGGCAGGAGATAAACCTTCTTTAAACAGAAACTTTATGACACTTCGATACTCAGTTTTCGACATTTTGAAAAAATACGCGACTCTCGTTATTCAAATGCCTGTTAAACTAAGACTAAGCATTTCATGTTGATGCATGTTTCTTATATTAAGTGCACGATAAACATACTATTTAATGCAACACAACATGTAGCGACATGTCGCGTTGAACTATATCAGGCCAGTTCATTATGGGACCGCCTGGTATCATGTTATATTTATTATATTGAAAGATTGTTACAACTACAGTATATGATAAAATTATTTATAACATGGTACTTTCCACCAAAAACCACCTTACTAATAATTTCTCTACAATAAGTTTGTTATGCAAAGATTTAAATGTAATTTTATGTCATGGAGATAATCAGTTATCAGTTTCTTTTATATTACTTATAAAAATTACCTAACAAAAATTTTACTGTTTTTTTTTTTATTATACTCTACTTATTTTTGCTAAGTAAATTTAATTTAGGGCAATTGCAGATTATAGAAATTGAAAAAATGTTCCAATTCAAAATTGATGTTATAAAAAAAATCATTGTAAATATAGAAATAACAAAAATCCTTACTTAAATCCATAGGCCGTGGCTACAAATGCAAAAGCAGCTGCAGCATGTCTTATGCGACCAGCCCACTCGTCTTTCTTAATCCTTTGGAAGTACAACTCAGGAATGGTGTGCAGCCAATAAGCAGCTTGAACTACCCACCATAATTTTAGCAGGAAGCTCATCGTGTGGTTTGGATAACCTTAGAGTATGAGAAATTACAACCTTTATTTGTTTTATAAATTTATAACTATTAACATCATTTAAACTTAAGCAATAATAATTTATATTTATTTGGTTGCTTAACATATGTATTAAGCCATTTTTATAAAATGTATGATTTACTTGTTTTTTATAGAAAAATAACAAAATCTTTAGGATAATTTTCTTACTATATTATAACATAAAATTTATTAAAGTTACCTTATTATTTCAATACTATAATAAACAAAAAACTTCATTAAAAAATTATATCTGTATATATTTTAATATACTTTGCCCATTATATATTGTTTAAAGCAATGATTGATACAGAAATCAAGACTTAAAATAGTTATTAACAATTTGAAATAATTACCATCCCACAAACGTGAAATATTGAAGATAAATCCTTCACGAAGAATGGCATCTCCACCCCAGAGAAAAGTCACAAGGTGAAATAGAACCAATTGGCCAGACTCATTGAGAGCACTCAGTCTTGATTTAGACAGGTGAAACTTCTTTGATATTTTCTATAAAAGGAGACAGATAAAGTAATTTACAATATTCATTATAAACTAGCTGTTCCCAAGTCTTTATATACACTAACATGTATCATTTTCAAGACTTCCCAATATGTTATAAAACTGAAAGTCACATATTAAGTATGCCTCAAGAAATCGTATTTTTTTTATAGGATCGGGTGACAAACGAGCACACAGTCCACCTGATGGTAAGTGGTTACTGTGACCCATAGACATCTACATCTATCCTCAATAAAGACTCAAGATGCAGATGCATTGTCACCTGTGAGGACTAAGATGGAATGCCTCTTTGCCAGTAAAAAGGGTCTCCGGTTCTCTACACTCACCATACGAAACACAGCAGCGTCAAGCTGCTATTTTACGCTGGTTTTCTGTGATCTATTGCTGAACATGAGCCTCCCTTCAATGTAGAGGATTTGCATCACACTTATGTGGATTGGCTAGTTTGGGTTTTTAAAGCCTGGCTTAAAGAAATGGTTACAACCTCATCTATCACAAGCATCATGATGTTTTCAGCATATCCGATAGTCACCTCTTATGACACCCACAAGATGGAAAGGTGAATTCTATTATATAAAGTAAAAGTTACTTCTTATTAATCTTAAAGACACTTGTCATAAAACCATCTTAAATAAATAAATAACAAATTCTGGTCTTTAATTGAAGACGAATGAACAAATACAGATAGATGAAGTAAATGTAGGTTCAACTTAAACATAAGGTAATATTTATAAAAATAGTGCTGGCAAGAAAAAAGACAATGATAAAGATTATTATAGCTATTTTATAGAAAATTTACCATATAACACTATTTTGACATATAGACAAATAATTTGATTATTTACGTGCACATAATAGCTTTTATGTTTGTTAACTGATTTTAAATTTAAATGAAACACCCTACAAATAGGCTCACCGTTGTAGGGATTAGAATGCACAAATTCATACAGACAACTTTTTTTATCATATGTGTAGAGAATATTATTTACTTTATTTAACTTATGAATGTTACTCATTATGTTTAACTTACGTCTAAGAAGTACTCTTGCCAAAGAGCATGCATCACAATGCACACAAGTGAATAGAAGAAAACAGCACAAATATCTTTCCAACCAGCTTCATAAAAGAATAGTTCTCCTTTAGGTGAATCCCAGCTTGGTTCCACTCCACTGACATTGTGATGTAGACTGATAAATAAACTGGCTACAGGACTAGTTGACTGAAAAGGTAAAAAGACTTATAATTTAACCACTGGTAAAACAATGTTTAAGTATTTTAATGTTTGGCTTACGTGGCATCAGATTGTTACTAACCTGGACCAACAACCCGACTAAGAAAACCATAACGACACATGAAACTATGTCTGCATGATTTTGAATCACAAATTCATGGCTAAAAATCGGTGGGTTCTTGTTAGATTTCCTTCCTATTACTGGTTTTACACCCATCGTTCCTGGTGATAACCTAAAACGAGGCACATATTGAATATTATATTTCATAAATCATGTATGGAACGATGTTTTCGTAAATTACAAAATGATGACAACAAACTTACTTCTTATAACCGAGTTAAGATTCTGTACCAAAAGGCGTCGAATAGGAAATACTCAGAATAAAATTTTAATGACTGCGAAACAACTGACGTGACACTTTCACTTGCTACGCGGTGAAACGTCAACAACTTCAAAATGAAGTTGTTGTTTGTTGACGGCCGTGTTGGCACTTGTGCACGTCAATATTGTGCTTAAATTAAAAAAATCTTATGTATTTTTATATTGGTTGTAATTAGTAACTACAAGTAAATTATAATATAATCAGTAATCTATTTTAGCGTTTTGTCCTTCATACAATTTCAACAAAAAATGTTAATAAATACTTTTTTTCACTTCAGCGGAAATCAATTAGAGCACAGACTACTAAGAGGATACTGCGCATAATTATAGATATTTTCTACATTTCAAATATGTATGGTAGTAGTCTCTAGTATATATACAGTAATCTAAGTAATCTATGCATTAGTCTGTGGTAGTAGTGTAGTAATGTCATATTATGTGTAATATATATTAATAGTGAGTCTAAGTCAAAGACTACAATGTTATATAGGGAAGTCTAAGTCAACCGACGACTAGACGGAGCAACGATGAGATGAGGCGCGGTATGAAGGAGAGCGGAGTGCCCCCCCCCCTGCGCGTGAAGTCTGCAGTTTTACCGGTCGGCTTCGCTTGGGTACCGGTGCTATAGATGTGGCAACTCGGAAAAATTACCACTCGAGTTAACCAGAGTTGAAATTCACGCAATTCGAGTTTAAACTCGAGTAGCAGTACGAAACAGTAAATGATTTTTACAAATAACTTTTTTATAAACGTGTTTTTCTATCTAGCTCTTTGGTAGATTGGGATAACAATAATCACCAAACTTATTATGTAGGATTAAAATAAAAAGGTATATATAGTATCAGATATTTTTTGTTTTAATCTTAGTTATAGTAAGTACCTACATTTAACAATATTAGCTAATTTTAATATATAGGTACATAAGCTATTAATAGTTTAATTATCAGAGTGAACATATTCTTAAATAAATTCAAATTTTTACAAATTCTTTTTCTTTTATATATAGAATAAGAGTGACAAACGAGCACACAGTCCCCCTGATGGTAAGTGGATGCTGTGGATGCTGTGGCTGATGTATATCCTCCGGTGTAGTTCACTTCTTCAAAGTGAGACCCACATGACCACGCAGCCGGCTGCGTGGTATTCTATGAGCATTCACCACCTCACTCCTCCGCTTCCGGAGGGTAGCCTTGCATTAGGCGCAAAAAACGGAGAAGTAGTTCTGTCTTGAAAAGTGATCCAATACGACTAAGGCGATATAAGCGAAGTAATAGTGCAGTGTGTGAAATAATAGTGTTGTGAATTAGTATTGAAGTAAGTGGTGTTATAATTTTTGTAATTAAAATTAAAAGGATTTGATGCCTAAGAGTAGACTACCTACTAGTATTAATTTTCTTTTAAATCTTTATCGAAGTAAATATTTGTGTACAAATGGAATTAATACTTGGCTGTTCTTTTAACTGTTACAGGTCTGTTCAACGTTTGAAATGGCAAAAAGGACGCAAGAAAATATATTATTCAAATATTTATTTAAAAAATTTAAACCTGGTACTGGTAGTGAAGGTTCTACTGAAAATCAGTGTTCAAGTGGTTTCGACAGTGATACTGCTACAAGTAGTTCTGGTACATCTGCTGCCTTTCCCGGGACTGTGGATGATGTTTCTCAGCATGTTTTAGATGTGGGCTATTATACGGGATCAAACGCCAAAATTGATGATGATTTAAAGTACAGATTGTTGAAATCTCCTTGGATGCCAGAATAGACGTTCAAGTTTCCAGTACGTGACGATAAAAGAAAGCTAAAATTTCAAATGCAATGGTTTGAACGGTTCTCGTGGTTGGTTTACACGAGTACAGGACAACAAGGTGCTTTATGCAAGTATTGTGTATTATTTGCTAGAGATTGCGCAGGTTAAGGCCCTCATCAGCAGTTGAAATCCTTAGTTACTCAGCCGTTCACTAAATGGAAAGATGCTGTACACGATTTCAAACATCACACTGAAAGCCAGTACCACAAATTTTCTGTATTATTGGCTGATAATTTTATGAAGGTGTATAATAAATCTCAACCAAATATAATAAGTCAGATTGATAGCGGATACCTAGCGCAAATAGCTGAAAATCGGAAACGGCTCATTCCGATTATTGAAACAATTAAATTATGTGGACTTCAGGCATTGGCACTCAGAGGTACGTGCGACTCAGGTCCAATAAAAATCAATGATACTGAGCCAGAAACAAATGATGAAAACTTTCGTGCTATCTTACGGATGAGAAGCAGACGTGGAGACTCAAATCTAATAAAGCACACAAAATATGACGTTGAACGCTACCTACCTAAGCCCGACCATACAAAATAAACTTATTGCAATTTGTGGTAAAATAATCCAGAAAAAATTGTGCAAGAATTGAATTCTGCGATATGTTTTTCAATCCTTGTTGACGAAACTACTGATGTTTCACGACAAGAACAGATGTCCATTTGTCTAAGATATGCCGAGCCAAAAGATAATGGGTTTATCTTGCGTGAAGATTTTTAAACTTTTGTAACAGTTGAGAATACAAAAGGAAGATATTTAGCTAATGCAATTTTATCTCAATTAAAATCTTTGGGAGTAGATTGGGATTATTTAGTCGGATAAGGATATGATGGAGCTTCTTCGATGAAAGGAAGTTTTAAAGGTGTGCAGGCGTGTGTCACATCCAGAAGCCTTATACGTTCATTGCAGCTCACATTCATTGAATTTAGCTCTGGTTCATTCTTGTCAGGTTCAGCCTATTCGAAATGCTATTGGAATTATAAAATCGGTTGGAAATTTTATCAAGTCCTCGGCAAAATGAACCAAGTGTTTAAAAGATAATATCGAAAAAACTTCCCTGAAACACAATGGAAAAACCTTACGGCAATGTGCGAGACCCGCTGGGTAGAATATCATGATGGGTTGTTAAGATTTAAAGAAATTGATACACTAGACGACTTAAGCACTGACGTGGATTCTGAAACATCGTCAATGGCTAATTCTTTTCTGAGATCAGTCATTTCAAGTGATTTTGTTATAAGCTTATGTTGCTTTGGAATGTTGTTCCCGTACACACTGACACTATGCAAAATACTTCAATCTCCCCTATGCAGCAGCTCTACAACGTGTCTATTTAATTATAAAGACTATTGAACATGTTCGCCATAATATTGATTCAAAATTGCTGAACTTTTCAAGAATGCACAGAATTTGCTCAGTATTATAAACGAGGAAATGAAAATTCCGCGAATAACGACACGCCAAGAGCATAGGGCAAACTACAACACAAAAGATCCTGATACTTATTTTAGAATTACTATAATGATTCTTTCACTTTTGGATGATTTCATTGATCACACAGATTTCATAAAGCCACATTATCATCTCTCAATATTTTAATTCCGTCTGTGTTGCAAAGAACAAAATTAATCAAAATTATCAAGAACTTTGAGCTCTATAAAAAATATTTGGAATGGGACTTTATAAAAGCTGAATTAGATGTGGCGGATAAAATGAGTGGAAAATCTGAACTAGATTTACCAACATTTGCTATTGAAGCTCTCGGAGAATGCAACCAGGCCTTATTTCCAAACATTCACGAACTTTTAAAGATCTTGGCGACACTGCCTGTTTCTACATGTACTCCTGAGATTTTCTCTTCTATGAAACGCCTCAAAATTTATTTGAGAAACTCCACAGGCCAGGAAAGACTAAACGGTTTGGCGTTAATGTCAATCCACCGCAGAATTGACATCGACACCGAGTAGGTAATTGATTTGTTCGCTGCAAAGAAAGCTAGAAGACTACTAGCCTATATGATAAGTAATACCATTTTATTTCTTTTATTAAAACGATTTTATGATTTGCTACTGTTCCACCAAATCACCCCCGCCCCCCCCCCCTAAAATTATTTTCTGGCTACAGCATAAACTCGGCCCACCCCCCACCCCTACCGCTGATCCGCATAAGTACATCCGTTTCCCAACTGTAAGGTCTTTAAATTGTGGTGTAGTGGCGGTGTAGTAATATCCACTTTCCCATATTGTCCCGTGAGTGTCATAAAAGGTAACAGAGGGATACAAGCCAGGTGCTGGGCAGCAGCGTCTAATAAAAACCCCAAAATAGAAAACTGCGTTTGTCAACCCCTCTGCCAAGCATGTCAACTATGGCAAGAGTCCCCTTTATGAGACAATCTATAGAAAGGCCTATATTGATTGGCTGTCATAATAATAAATTTTAAGAGATGTCAAACGGCCCTTCGCTTACGTGTCTTGCGCCCACGATCAGGGATCAACCAATTATTGACCAACTATTCACAGACCAATACCACACAGATCTGGGTTCGGGACAACGAAGTGGGCGTGATCCTAGCTGAAGACATTCGATTTCGTACACAAACCCGTTTCTTAAAACAAAAGGTTGACGACTAAGATGACGGGATATATTGAAATGGTCCCGGTCTTGACGCCTATCGTATGTGCCTTATATTTGTGCCTCGTGACTGTATACTTCTTCTTTACCCTATAATTATGGTGTAGACGGGAGGATCTTGATATATAAAACAGCTATTTCTTCAATAAAAATTCTCCTTTGGAAATGCGACACTGATGCACTATTATGTGATGATGATGAATGTTATGTTAATTCCATCCTTTTATAAAAAGATGATTTACGACAAGTCAAAAAAATATTATTTAATATGTAGGCCTCTCGTGTTCTACTATGTTGTTAACTGTTATGCCTCATCCACACGCTTGGCAAACAACGGCAAACAGCAATCACGAACGTGTGGATGGTTGTTTGCCTGTTTGTTTGTGATTGCCAGTGATCCGCGTTGGTGTCGGTTTTTGTGCACCGATCAAAGTGTGTTCGACAAACGTGTTTGCGATGTATCCACACGTTTGGAAATCAGTCAGTAGTACGCGCGAGCTTGCGGCATGCGGGCGGCGGAAGGAGTTACTACTGGATATAATTATTATACTCTACGCCAATGTTACCAATCCAAAATATGTCTCGGAGGTAAATATGATTTCAGAAGTTGAGTTTCCTACCAATACTACTTCGAAAAGTTAGTAGATCTACCACCTATATATTTTTAAGTTTTCTGGACACCTCCCAATAATAATGTGATTGATTCATAATTAATGTTTCTATTGAGTAACAAATGTGTAATATATGGAGACATATATTGAAATATGGATATACGACAGTCGATATATTTTTTAAAATAATTTAATATTTTATTTTTTCACGTAAATCATTTAATCTACAACACCATCGTAAA